AGCTTTAATAATATAGTTAAATGTATTTTATAATAGAAATTGGGAGAGTACCCAATAAGAGCAAGGTGCGGAGAACAACAGCAAAGCTTAGGACAAACACGGAAGCTCTATTAAGTAAGATTGATTGCACAACGTAATTGTGTTTTATTAAACACCCAATTTTTGTATATATCATTTACTAGAAAGTCTCATTCAATAATTTTTGATAAATGTCATGATAACTGAACTCTTTTCATTAGCGTCTCTAGCAATATATTTTTTTTTTAACGTCTGAATCACTTTAAATGGTTTTATATTATCTCTCTTTTTTTTAATAGATATCATGCTAGCTCTTCCTAATATATATTGATGATGGATTTTTTTTTTCTTTTATTATATAACTACACGTGTATCTTAACATCTTTAACTTTAAAATCTTAACTTTATATTTTGGAAAAATTATGTATAAGCCTTGTGGAGTAGATTTATTTGTTCTTGCAAAATTTAAAAATTACAACCAAATTTCTTAGGATTTAATTGTAATTAGAAATGAGATTATAAAAATAATAATACCTCTATTAAATATACATTACATCAATTAAATAATTAATTTATAACTATTTTATCAGTAATTTATAATTATAATTTTAACTTTTTACAACTGTAATTTCACATATTTAATAATTAAGCAATCTTACATTATTAAAAAAAATTTAACATTAATTGTTTACAACTAACTTATCAGTAATTTATAACTATAATTTTAACTTTTTATAACTGTAATTTTACATATTTAATAGTTAAAAGTTTGACTATTGAATATATAAAATTATAAATATAAAAAATTTAAATTATATTTATAAATTACTGATGAAATAATTATAAATTATTTGACTAACGTAATGTATATATACTTAATAGGAGCATTATATCTTTTTATTTCAATTTCAAATTACACTCATGCCCCAAGAGACTTAGGTGTGGTTTTTAAATTTTGCAAAATTTGTTTACAAATAAGTTTGTTCCATGTAGGATCTATATGTAATTTTCTTTTATATTTTTGTTGTCCTTTTAATACTTAACACTTACTATCATATGGTTATATTGATAGCAGCAACAAAACAAAAGAGGAATTCCCTAGAGAAATAAATAGAATAGTTGATCACCTTGTCAAAGATAGTTTTAGTAGGGAGAATGATTTTCATTTTATTGATTCCACTCCAAGCCATTTAGTGGCTTTGGTGGAAACTGATTGTATGGGATGCTAATCCCCTCAGGATTTTATGCTTATGTGATGTTTAGGGATTAGTGCCCTCCTTCATTATCCAAAAAAAAAGGAAAAAAGGAAAAAACAAGAAACAAAGAAGTTCTTTCTTATAAACTAGGTTATGGAAGCCAGTAAGTACTATTAGCAACTAGTAAGCATTACAAATCTAGCCAGTCAGTTTGCACATAAGTTTTCTCCCGATAGGAATGACCTGTTTCTATCAACCATACGCATACATGTTTTTGGAAGGTTTTTATTGTGCTATATCTGTCAACAATGTTCATTGATTTTTTTTTAAATACAACAGAAGGCCAAAAAAAATATCCTGCAGGAAATATCAGTGGGTTCATTGATAATGTCACATCTCATAATAGACAAATATTCTACAAGATATGCCATAACTTGTGTGATGATTAGAAAAAAACATATTGTGTGCCAGCTAATCAGCACATTTTTTTTTTAAATATATGGCCATAGCAATCAGCACAAAAAGACTAATATCTACTTTTGTTTAAAGTCAAGAGATTTCTATAATCATGTGGAAAAACATTGAAGATAGTAGTATCAAAGTTGTCACGAGATATCCAATGGGTTAAGTGATCAGAGCATTTATTTGCTTTTCTATAAACATGATTAAAAAGTAATCATCCAATCTCTTATTGTGAGATCTTTGATTTTTTTGATGATGTTAGATAAAGGATGACTTCTAAAGTAATTGTAGATAATAAGAGATAATACCTCCATCAAGTCTGAATGAACATTTATTTTGGATAATTTTTCATTCCAACAAAGGATAAAGCCTTTATAGATTTCTATAAGTTCAGTTGCTATGCTAGGTTATAGCCAAGATGCTTGAAAAAACTTTTGATTTGATTTCCCTTATCGTCTCTAATGATCCCTTCATAAGCAGCAATGACATTAATGTTAATTGCACCATTAGTGTCGAGTCTAATCCATTCAAATTCAAGCAGTTTTCAATTAACTTTATAACTATTGCTTCTTTTATTCAAATGATTAATGTTGGATAGAAGCTTCATGTCGTTGTTGATTTGTTAATTGTTGAAAAAGGCAATATCATTATCCAAGATCTCATATTTGGAATAGAGTTTTTTGCATATAGCTTTTCAAATATTCTAACAAGCTCGGACGAAAGGACTCTACCAAGGTGCTCTTCTTGTATTCAAGCTCCCCGTTTCATTCTTTGCATTTCAAATAAGCACAAGTATTAGTTTTTCTAAAAATGTAGTCACAGAGGGGCCTTCTAGTCTCTCAAAATCATTTCTCTTATATTTTTTGCAATCATAGTTAAGCAACATGTGATCTCGTATAAACTTTTTGAATGTTATCAATCACTTCCATTAAATGTATAAGAATATCTTAACTTTTTAGAGTCCAAGATTCTAATGGAAAATTTTTGTGATGCTCAACATTTTAGCAATTGCACTTGGAAAGAATCCTAATTTTTTCATAAAGCCTCGCCTCCAATTATCATGGCAAGCTTCTAATTCATAATTAGCTGCCTAATCCAACCCGGGTCACAATGCCCATTGTACTGTGCATCATTTCATCCCTGCTTTGGGCTATCGTGTGTGATTTTTTTTTTTAAATATGTATGCCACTCCAAAGTTAATGGCCCAATCAGAAATCAGGAACTCATTATGACCACAAGGATTAAGTTGAGAGCAAAACATTTAGGGTGTGTTTGAATTTCAATTAGATATAATTAATTGTAAAAAAAATAATTAATATAATAAATTTTAATTATAATTGACTACGTTATAATGTGATGATATTTGGATAATGTTTTTTAAAATTAATTTTGATGAAATTGAAGATGTTTAGGTGATTTATTCAAAATCAATTTTAAATGCACAAATTATTATAAAAGATATTATTTTTTAAAATTTAAATATTGATAAAATTATAATTAATATTTTTAAATTTGTTGAATTCTATTTAATAAATAAATTAAAATATGTTAATGTTAATTTCAATAATAATATAATAATTTTTTTGAATTTAGTGACTAAACAATTTGTGCAAAATAAAAAGCTAACACGGGGGGCTAACATTGAGGCTCAAAGGATATCTGAAATTTGCTAGAGGTGCATGCTTGGAAGGTAAAATTTCCGACAACTAATAAAAGAAGCAAACATTGAAATCAATTATGATAAGCCACTCTTCTCTGCTTATAGCAAAACATCGTTCCAGTACAAACAATTAATTATATGAAAATGGAGGTGTTTGGATGATTTTTACTAAAATTATAGTTTTGATTTATATAATTAATTTTGGTGCTAATCCAAATAGGCACTTAATTAGTGGGCAAACTCATGAAACTCAATTAACCTTGCATGTTTTATTCATGCACATAGTTGTCAAACTCTTAAATTGACTCTATAAGTTTAATGTTTTTATGTTTTTAATTTACAAAATTATATCAATTTACTCATAAAATTGGATTAGATATAAACTCGATTAAAATCACGAGTTTACCTCCTAATTTATTGATTTTACGTTTTTAATTTACAAAATCATATCCATTAATTCATAAATTCAGGCTAAATGTAAGCTTAATTAAACTTGTTAAGCTCATCAATTTTTTTTAGTCGAGCGAGTTCAGTATATAATATGAAAAATTTAATTCATAAAAGTTATAGGACTTGATTTAAAAAAAAAACTTGAAATGCAAAAACTAATATTAATAAAAAAGAAAACAAAAATGCCAAAAATAAGTTCCCTTATTTTAAATTTTTATGTCTTGTATATGATAATTTATCAATATAGATAGGTTTAATTCAATGATTTATATTTAATATATTTAAATCAAATTACAATCATATTTTAATAGCTATTTGTTAATAGATGTAAATTTTTATGAGTTTACAATTAGAGTTTGTGATATCATTTTATATTTTTATTATAAATTTATTTAAATTTATGAGTTTGACAATTTTGTTGATGCATCAATCTTCTCCACACCCTTCTCTCTTACACGAATTCCCTCATAATGAGTTTTATATGAGGTTAGATTCTTTGTAATGTTAGGACCCCATTTTATACAGTCTCATTTCAAATTCTGTGCCTTCCAATGTTTTAATTGTACCATACATATTACATAGACATGCCTTTTTTTTTTTTTCCTTATAAAAAATAAAAGTAAAAATTTTGATTCGTGTTGACAAACATTTTTTTTTTAGTTACTATGTTGCAAATAAAATCAGTGCTAGAGAAACAACACTAATTAACGTCACAAAGCAAAAAATCCCTGCACCCTAAGATAAGATCTTTTATAATCCTAATATCTTAAACTATCATAGTCTATATGATGAGCAAACAAATCCATATAAGTATTAGTTTTTTTTTTTTTAAATGTGGTCAACGGAACAACCCAATTCTTGTATGACAAAATAAAGGGATAATTTTGTTAATATTAATTTTGAATGAGGGTGAGAATCTTCATTGAGTACAAAAAACATTAATTTGATGGCATTAAGGTTGAAGCTTTCAAAAATACTCAAGAGTTCAGCTACAATATTAGAGTGATATCCAAACATTTGGTGAATTTTTAAGTTGAACATTTTTGTTTTTAACCATCTTTATTATTATTTTTGGATATAGACGAAAGCAAAACCTTAAGAAAGAAGGAAAGAAATTAACTGGTAGGGTTAACATATTCCTAATTTAACCAAATCTGATAATGTCCATGCATTGGGGAGGGGCTCTCTGCTCCTCACCCTCAACAATCAAAACTGTAAGCTTTTACAGCCAATCAACCTGGCCAATCAGTTCAGTTATTTGTTTTTCTAATGCTATCAGAATCTCCCAATCCGCTCATGCCATGTACTCTAATATGGCGTGTAAATTTTTCTGTAAGTGAGAGATCCGGTTCAATCTTGAAAAGAATTATGAGTCCCGTTTAACTTAACCGCTCACGCGCCCCGCCTCCCTCGATTGGCTTCTTTGAATGAAGAAAGCGAGGGACTTGCTTAAAACCCTTGGCAGTTGCAGAATCCGCCGAAGTTCGAACCTTGTAGCTCTCGACCGCATGGAGGATTCATCAAATCGTTATTCTTACGACCCAACTCTTCAATGGAACCCTCAAGTTCATGACTACTTCGTCAAAGCTTATGGCGCCGACCACTTCTCTCGCATCTCTAAATCTTTAACGTACTCTCTTTTCTCTCCTCCTCCTTGCTCAAAACACTTCTTCCATGTAGTGCAATGCGTAGCAGTATACGTGTTGATTAAAATTCGGATTGTACCTTCTGTGTCTGCTGCGTATGGTTCTTAGTTGAAGCTGAATATGTAACGCACTCATTCAAAAGCAAGACAAGGAAAATGGTTGTTAAGGTGTTTTCTTTTTAAAGTTTTGTTTGAGCATTTCAGTTTTTGGTTCAAGGTTCGTCGTTTCATTATGTTCAACTGCATTCCTTTTAGTATACTTTCATGATCACGTTGATGAGAGCTGGTATGCCCACCCTTGATGTTGTGATGCCATTTTAGAGCTTCTTTTATCGGCCAAAATGTGCTTCTGTAACTAAAATTTTATAATTTCTATGGGTATGTACGATTTGGAATTTTCAGTATGCTGCTTGGTCACAGCAAAGTCGTCGTCTTTTTCAATGGCTGAATTTGAATTTGCACACATATTTTTAGGCGTCCCTCTGGCTACTCTTGTGTTCGTGTAAATACGCTCAGGTCTACAAGTGATGAAGTTATTGAGAAGCTGCAAGCAGTAATGAATAAATCGGGATCTGAGAATGATTTGGACTCAAAGCGTTGTTCAAGTGAAGCCAATAATATCCGGGATTTAGAATTCAGCGGAAATATAGCTCTGGGACAAAGTGAAGATAAGGCTAATCCTTCGAAGGCGTGTTCCCGGGCTGCTCCAGTTTCGAAGTGTCACATTCCTGGCCTAGATTATGTCGTATTTGTTCAGGGTTCAGGACCGCACAAAATCAATTATGATTTTGCACATGATAGACCTCCCAAGGAGGTCCTTGTTAGCAGGAAATGTGCCGAAGCAGTTCTTCGCGGTGCTCAGGTCATTAACTTCCCTCCTGTAAAAGTAGTAAGCTTAATTTTGCATAAGTGATTGCGAGGAGATGTTACTATTTATAACTTCCTACCTATTGCCTCATCAAAAACTTTGGTTTCTCTGACTTCATTTACCTCTGCTACTATCATATTTCTGTCCTCTGTAAACATCATGGACTCAGAGTTTCTCTGTCTCAAGGTTGTTTTTATTACATCATCTGTTACATATACGCCTATCATTGACAGTTTTCAGCATGGTTGCTATGGTCAGCAAAACTGAAATCTCTTCCTGTCCTTTGAGATTCTGGACATAACCTGGCGCTAAAACAAAATGTAATTAGGATCTGATAATATTATTTTTTCTTTTAGCTGATTTGAGTTGCATCTGTTAAATATTAGACTTGCTGCATGTTTTTCAAAGTATCAATATTTTGATTTGGTGAGAAAAGAAAAGATAGGAGAGTGGAATAATTAACTTGTAATCTGCGGACTAAGAGAGTGCAAATTTGAGTTCAAGATATCTCTAATACACACACAAAGATATCAATATAAACTTTTTTTTTATTTTATTGTTCTGTTGTTTTCTTATTATTCTTCGTTTTTTGTGCCATTCAAGTCAATGAATCACGTGGAAGGAAATAAACCAGGATTGTTAGTCTTTAATTGTTTCCTAATGTTAGTTCTCCTTCAGGTATATGTTCCTGGTGTAATGGCTTGCAGTGCTCATGTTGAAACAGGAGATACAGTTGCGGTCTCAGTTGCTGTGGAGCAGCCAGGTGTCAGTGGGGGATGGGGTATTGGTATGACACGTGGTACTGTACTACAAGGGTCACAAACTGGTAGGGAGTGTATTTCTATCTCAATTCTGAACTTTATTTGGTAGACCTTTTCCTTACTTGGCCAGTAATACTAGATTACATAAATTGCATTATTATAATTATTTAAATAATATTGTAGTAAAACTGAATGCTCTTATAAAATAAGAATGATGAAGTTTCCATGTCTTGTTATCTTACAGATCCTTATTATTCTGAACGAAGTGGGCTCTATATTGGCCAAGGAACAACAATGATGTCAAGGGCTGAAATGTTTCGTGTTTCTAAAGGAGTGGCTGTGGATATGAGGGACAGAGTATATGAACTTCCTTCTTTTCATAGTAAAACTCACCTCTTCTTGATAAAAATATTGTATTGCATTATTATTATTATTATTATTATTATTATTATTATTATTATTATAATTATTATTATTATTTTTGGTAGTTTTTCTGTTTCCATTCCACATGTTGTGATTCATGTTTTCAACCCATTGTTATGCATTTTGGCATGCTAAGGTGTTGATTTTCATAATTTATGCAATGCCTCTGTAAACGATTCATTTTTTTATTTGTTCTTTTTGGTAAGCATATTTCAGTGGCTTAATATGCTTTTTTTCTGCTTTCTTTTCCCTTTGTCCTTACAAGAATAATATTATTAGGATAGAAGAGATCACAGGGAGGAAGGAACAGAATAATATTATTTTTCTTATATTTAGAAGAAGACCTCTTTACCTGTGATCTTATAGGTTTCATACATGATTAGATTGAGATTGACGTCATCTTATAGATTGATGTTATGTTATTTAATTTATAAGCGGGGATATTGGATAGTGGCATGGCCTTGATTGCAGCTGATTAGGGGGGTTGAGAAGCCCCAAGATTGCATTTTGCAGGGGGATTGTTGAAATTTGTTTTGCTTCTTTTGGTTCATGGTCTCGTGTTGTCCTTTTCTGTTGGGAGTGAAAATGACAAACATTGGCTATTGGTTTGATAATTAGTTCTCTGAGTATCTGGATAATTGATGCTTGGATCTTTTTGCCATTGGCTAAGACAAGTTAAAAAAAAAAAAAGGCTTTTGCTTTGTATGTTGAAGAGGCGAGAGTTTCATGAGTCAATGTGTTCCAGGAGGGTTTCTTATTTGGTCAGTGGAAGGAGTGGAGGCTTTGTCTAGCTTGTGCAGCCAAAAGGTTTCTGATTATTAGTGTGAAAGCTAGCATCTGGTGGCTGGTGCGACTTGGATAAATTTGTGTTGCTGTTGTGACTTAATCACTGCATATCATTTGGACCTTATCTCTTGACCTTTTTAGCCATTTTTGCTTTTGTTTTGCTCTATTTTGGTCATTGCTTAATCTGTTGTTGGTATTCCTTTTCCCCTTCTTTTCTTTTTACTAATAATTCTTTGGCTCTCTAATGTGTGTGTATTTTGCAAATAGACATTGCTTAATGCTTACAGTATTGACTGTATGTGCATAGCTGCTGTATCATTTCCTTCTGGTTTTGCAGATGTGCTTGAGGGAGACATATTTCTTCAAAACCTGCCAAGTATTGTTACTGCCCATGCTTTAGGTACATAAATTACAGTATAGGTCTCGTCCCCACGCTTGCCTTGTCCTTTTGAGTCATTCGGGAACTTAAAGTGTCTACTATTTGTTACCTTTGGTTGCAAGTGCTTTTTACTATAAACTCTTCTCATATGTACCATTCTTTTCAATGCAAAACACGTCTTAATCTACTTGGTTTTAAGTCTTTGGAGACCATCTCAACAGATATGCTTGCGCAAAACTCCTTATTTAGGCTTATTAGGATAGTTTGGACTATAAAACTTAATTATTTTTCTGTTTTGTCTAAACAATTCTGTTTTGAATGAACATAGAATGTTAATCTGCATATTCAGTTGGTTCTGATGTATTTTATTTGTTTGATATTTAGAAATTTAGAATTTTCACAATGTAATTGTCAGTTGCTTAAACAAACTGTCCATTATTTTGTGGGCTTTTCCCAATAAAGTTGAATTCATGATTTTTTTCATCAGTGATATCATAATCCTCAACTAGACTTGTTGGACTGGGGCCGGTCCATACTCTGTAGTCCAGTCCATCTCGGACTTGATAATTGGGAATCAATAAGCCAGCCAGGAAGTAGCTGAACCAGTTTGGTTAAACCCAGATGGTTCAAGTGAGCCAACCTCTTTTCTTGTGAAAGATGTGGCAGCTAGTCATCCACCTGTGACAAATACCACATTGCTCCATTAAGGCTTGAACTTGGAATCAAACCTGTCATCTTACCCCTTTGTTGCATGACTTGATCATGAAAACTTAATATTTTGACTAAAACATTAATACTTATTCAACATTGGTCATAACAGTATTTTCATTCACATTTTGTATTATTTTGAAGAATTATTTCCTAAAATTTACATTTTTGATTAATTTATAATTATAAAATTATTAAAATTATTTATATATATTATTATAAGAAATTTTCAATACAAGTATCAATATTAATAGCGCATTTGCATGTAAAAGAAATATTTTTTTTTAAGCTCTGCTTTGACCATTTAAGATTGAACCATGAGCCATTCCTCGTTCAATGATTTGTAGTGCTTATGAACGTTAGTTTTGCTCTGTGTCTATTGCATTTAAATCTTCGATAATTTTGACAGCCATCACTAACCCTTGTGTTTTATGAGAGATATATTCTATAATGGTGGTTTTTCCCATTTGTTTTCTTCGTACACGTTAGCACTTATATTTTAATGTAGGATCAATTAGAAACTATTGCTAATTGCATGGACTTCAAAATACTGTTCCTTGGCTTATCTTTTCTCTATGTGGAACTCATTCCTTTTTATCTGGCATCTATTTTTACATCTTTTTCTCTTAGATCCACAAAAGGGAGAGCGTATACTAGACATGTGTGCTGCACCAGGGGGGAAAACAACTGCAATTGCAATACTTATGAAGGATGAAGGAGAGATCATTGCAGCTGATAGATCTCATAACAAGGTGGAAATTCTGTACTATAGTTAAATGCTTGGTTATCCAATTTGGTTATGCAATTTGTGTATTCTAGAGATCTGATTTAACAAATTGGTGTTGGCTCATTCTGTTTTACATCCTAATATTTTTTTTAATGAATGATTTCTTGACTTCAGTGTGTTTGCAATGATTGGATTTGCTGGAAGCCTGGAATAGTATTCCCACTTGCAAAAATATGTTTTTGTTCTATTTTCTTGAAGACATTATTCTCCAGGATGGTTTCAATGAATATTTCAAATAAGGTTTTTAGTTTTGTTTCTTATAATTTTTTATTAGTTAATGTTCATGGTAGCACCTCATATAGTGTGTAAACTTTTGACAATCACTGGCAGAGCGAATTTCAGTAGTTTGGGGTTCTTAAGAAAAGTAAGTTTTTAATTCATAATTTAGTATTTTTATGGACAGAATTATCCTTGCTTAGAGATGTTTATTAATATTCAATATAAAAATTTAATTTTTTTTTGGTTGAATTAGAGGGGTAGGCACTAACGGTCTAAGATTATAAGCGGGATCAAATCCACGACCTTTCGCTTACAGGAGAGCTTACATGCCACTAAGCCGCAAGATCATTGGTCAATATAAAAATTTTAAAGCACTTGTTAACTGTATATAACAAGATAAATTCTAACATATCATTTTAGTAAAGATCTTAGTTCTATAGTTATTAATGAAGTGACTACTCGAAATTCAGGGGGCTTGAAGCAAATTAAAGAGGGTCCCTCAGCCACATAGAAAGTGAAAACACATATTTCCCTTGCTTGGCAAAACTGCCTGTTACAGAATTACTCACTCTTAACACATAATTTGTCTAACTGGAAATGCCATGTTTTATGTTCAAAATATCCCAATTTTTTTCTCAGATCCTTTTCTTGTATTGGTTCTGTGTTTTAATAATTTTCAATTTATACTTTTTATGCTTGATGGCTGTCTAGGTGATGGATATTCAGAAATTGGCAGCGGAAATGGGATTGAGTTGCATAAAGACCTATAAATTAGATGCTCTTAAAGCTGTTTGTCAAAGAAATGAACCAGATAATTTGAGCGGTTCATATTGTGGTAATGCTGACAATGGTGTGACAGATCAAGTTTCTGATTCATCAATTTTAAATGAAGAAAGAATGTCATCTATTGGTATAAATAGGTTAAATATTGAGAAGACTATGGAGGAAAATGGTAGGTACGCTCTGTCCTCTACCGGCTATTTATTACATCAATGGGGTTTATTTAGCAATTTGATTCAATAATTGGTTTTTGCGCGCATTTTGCTGGCTAGGGTAGAAGATGGAGGTACATATAGTGCTCTGGGAATTCCATATATGCCCAACTAACAGACCCCCCCCTCTCTCTCACACACACACTGCACACTTCATGCGAATCAGCTTTGACCCTACTGATGAGCCCATCCTTTTCTTCTAATTTTTTCCCCATTTTGGCAAGGCTCAATATTGTTGAGACATGGCAATTATATTAACATTCCAAACAGAATCAACAACAACAACAACAAGCCTTTATCCCACTAGGTGGGGTCGGCTACATGGATTGCAAGACGCCATTGTGCTCTATCATTTATTAAGCTTTTAGAAATATTATTAATTAAGAGATCACGTTCAACAACTTCCAAAGTGTTCTCTTAGGCCTTCCTCTACCTCTCTTAATCGGACTCAAAGTTATATGTTCCACTCTTCTCACTGGTGCCTCCCTTGGTCTTCTTTGTACATGCCCAAACCATCTCAACCGATTTTCTACCATTTTTTCCTCAATAGGTGCCACCCTCACTTTTTCACGTATGTGCTCATTTCGAATTTTATCTTTACGTGTATGTCCGCACATCCATCGTAACATTCTCATCTCTGCTACTCCAACTTTATGCTCTTGCTGTCCTGTTAGAGCCCAGCATTCACTACTATATAACATTGCCGGTCTGATAGCAGTACGATAAAACTTTCCTTTAAGTTTATTAGGCACCTTACGGTCACAAATAACTCCTTTAGCTTTTCTCCAATTAAACCACCCAGCTTGAATTCTATGTGAAATATCTCCACTGATTTCGCCATCATTTTGGATAATGGCTCCCAAATATCTAAACTTTTCCACTTGAGGTATAATTTGATCTCCCAATTTCACTTCCAAATTATTTTCGAATAGTCCTTTATCAAATTTACAATATAAATATTCCGTCTTACTTCTACTCAGACGAAAACCTTTCGACTCCAATGTCCTCCTCCATAACTCAAGTTTGCAATTAACCTCTTCTCTTGTCTCTGCTATAAGAACTATATCATCCGCGAAGAGCATACATTTCGGGATTTCCTCTTGAATATGTTCCGTCAAAACATTTAAAATCAAGTTGAACAAATAAGGACTCAGAGATGATCCCTGATGTAGCCCAATCTTTATAGGAAAATCCTTTGTTTGACCACTAGGCGTTCTTATACTAGTTTTTACCCCCTCATACATATCTTGTATGGCTTTAATATAAGCAATCCGTACTCCCTTTTTTTCCAACGCTTTCCAAAGCACTTCTCTTGGTATACGGTCATAAGCTTTTTCCAAATCAATAAAAACCATGTGTAGATCTTTATCTTTACAACGATACTTTTCCATTAATCCCCTTAGTAGATAAATCGCCTCTGTAGTTGATCTACCTGGCATAAAACCAAATTGATTCTCAGAAATACTTGTCTCCAATCTCAACCTGTGCTCAATTACTTTCTCCCACAATTTCATTGTGTGGCTCATGAGTTTAATCCCTCTATAGTTAGTACAATTCTGAATATCTCCTTTATTTTTATAAATAGGAATTAATGTACTTCTCCTCCACTCATCAGGCATTTTCTTGGACCGTAAAATCACATTAAATAACTTAGTTAACCATCTCACCCCTTCTTCACCTAAACATTTCCACGCTTCGATAGATATACAATCAGGTCCGTTAGCTCTACCATTTGCCATTTTCTTAAGAGCTTCCTTTACCTCCTTATCACGTATTTTTCGATAGAATGACAAATTTTGTTCTCCTTCACCAGTTACTAAATCCTCCAAGTTACTAGATGAATCCTCTCCATCATTGAAAAGTTTAGAAAAATAAGTCTCCCATCTATTTTTAATTTCATCATCTGTAACTAAAATTCTTCCCTCTTCATCCTTAATACACCTTACCTGTTCTAGATCTCTTGATTTTCTTTCCCTACTCTTGGCAATCTTATAAATATTTTGCTCTCCTTCCTTCGTTCAAGGTTCTTATAAAATTCTTCAAAAGCTTTAGAACGAGCTTCACCCACAGCTCTCTTAGTTTCCTTCTTAGCCATACGGTACCTCTCCCAATTTTCCTCATTGTTACACAAATGTATGGCTTTAAAACAGTTCTTCTTATACTTGATTTTGTCCTGTACACTATTATTCCACCACCAAGACTCCTTATCTCTCGGACCAGGACCTTTCGATTCTCCCAAAACTACTTTTGCAACCTCCCGTATCTTTTTAGCCATATCCTCCCATATGATGTTAGCACTTCCCTGAGAATCCCAAATTCCTTTATCCAAAAGATTTCGCTTGAAAATATCTTGCTTCTCACCTTTTAATTGCCACCACCTAATCCTTGGTGTTACTACTTGTCGACGTTTTTGGATTTTACTCATAATACACACATCAAGGACTAGGACCCTATGTTGTGTCGTTACAGCATCTCCAGGGATCACCTTAAATTTTTACAAAGTTTTCTATCTGTGTTCCTAACCAAAAGAAAATCAATCTGCGACCTTGAGGCTCCACTTTTGTAGGTGATGAGATGCTCATCTCTCTTCTTGAAACAAGTGTTGGCAATCTTAAAATCATACGCCAATGAGAAATCAAGAAGAGTTTGCCCTTCATTGTTTAGCTCTCCAAAACCAAAACCACCATGCACCCTCGCATACTGACCAGCTTCCCTCCCGACATGCCCATTAAAGTCTCCTCCAATAAAAATCTTTTCACTCTGTGGTATGTGTCGAATCAACCCCTCCAGATCCTCCCAAAATAATTCCTTAAGACTGGCTTCTGTCCCGACTTGCGGCGCATAAGCGCTAACAATATTAACAGTCTCACGTCCAATTATCATTTTTAAAGAAATAATTCTGTCTCCAATTCTGCTAACTTCTACAACGTTCTTCTTCCACTCCTTATCTATAATGATGCCTACTCCATTGCGTGCACTTACTTTTCCTGTATACCAAAGTTTGAAACCTTGAATATCCTTAGCTTCTTCTCCACGCCATTTTGTTTCTTGCAAGCAAAGGATATTGATTTTCCTTTGAATCATAACCCCTACAACCTCTACAGATTTACAATTTAATGTCCCAACATTCCAAGTACCAAATCTAATTTTGCTCTTATGGACTAACTTCTTTAGCCGCGTGCGTCCAGAATGACGCGGTAGCCCTTGCTCATTTAACACTACATCCGGGCGCCGATGCAGCGGCTCTAACTCACTTATCACTGTACTCGAGCCATGCAGCGCGTTACTTACGGGCAACGACCTAGCATTAACATTATAACGTCTATTGTCCATGTTCATGATAGATTCAACAAATTTTTACATTGGCTGTTGATGGCCTAACACAACCCTCCTCCTTTACCCGGGCTTGGGACCGGCTATAAACATAGGCGGAGTTATTCCAAACAGAATCATTGGATTATTTTTGTTTGATATTGTTGATATTGGATTATTTTACCTAGTGGGATAAGGCTTGTTATTGTTGTTGTAGTATTATTAATACGTGTGATGCTTCTTTTCTCTTTCTTTTGTGGTTGTTATTGACATGAACGTCATTTTTCTGCCAACCATTCACTAAGTTGTTATAAATAATTCAGCAGTTGATCACATTGAAGAGGAAAACAAAGGAACATATGTTAGCAAAGCTGAAATCCGGAAGAGTATGCGGAGAGAGCGAAATGGACCCGGAAGAAATCAATGCCTGGGTGGTAGGGTTGAGAAGTCAAAAGGTTTTCCTCCTAACAGTTTTGATAAAGTTCTTCTTGATGCTCCTTGTTCTGCCCTTGGTTTAAGGCCTCGATTATTTGCTGGAGAGGTAAAAATGAAGTTGTGAATTGAAGCCCTGCATTTACTTGTGTCTAAACCTGTATGCATGCGAAGAGAAACAAGTATGAAATAAATGAATGAATATGTCGATAGGATAGGAACGAGGACCTGCTTACCTTTAAGTATGAGTTGGAATGCTGGATCCATTGCTTTTATTTTCTTAATTTAAAACATATTTGTCAATGCTTGAATCTTCAATGGCATTTGGATATGCAAGGATAAAGCTGAAATTATTTGGAGGATAGTGTAGCAGTAATGAACGTTTTGTATGTGATTGGAATAATGCCTATGCAGTAGAATTAGGCAAAGGTGCCCAGAAAGTGCTTTGGGCTGTTGTTCAAATTGCATTTGATTCCAGTTTAAAAAATCCATTACATCAAGCCATCAACACTTAAAGGTATGCTAGGGCAATGTGAATTGTGAAGTTGCCATCTTCCTCTGGCCAAGTACTTTAGTTGTATTTCCCTTTTGCATGCATTTGTTATTGCTAGTTCGATGTGTGGTTTGGCCTGTATGTAATATTCTATGCTTGGTGCCTGAATCGTTAGATCATACTCTCTTTGGTCCACAATATAAGCATTTCCCCTTAACTAATCTTGGTTCAAAATTCAAGCAACCTAGTACATATAAAAAATTTTCTCCATTGTTAAATGGAGAAAAATTTAACCTAGTACATATTTATTAACCTATGTGTTTGTATATATGTATCTCTCACTCATCATAGAGTGCATTGGTAATTGAGACAAGGGGTAAAAAGGGAAAATGATAAATATTTTTATGGGAATGATGACTTTGTTAGTATGCTGATTTTTTCCAAAAACTACTTATATTTTGGACTGGAGGGAGTAAATGTTGGTGATCTCATTGCTTTTTGCTTAAACATCTAAGGAACTAGAACCTTTTTGGATTTTTCATCTGGTTTGTCTCTACCTGCTTAGAAATTCATACTGATGTCTAGAAGCCCTCATTCTCAAAGAGTTGAAGTATCTTAGCTGTATGCAGTGAAGACTATTGGCAAAAGGTTAAATAGAGATCTGTAACTTTTCAACATTGCATGCCATTTTTTCTTTATGCTGGCTTTATGTTCTAATATCTGTAATCACTTTGATTAATAATGAGTATCAAAAGACTTAGTAATGACTGCAACTCTTTGTTTATGGTAGGAAACTATTGAATCCTTACGAACACACGCAAAATACCAAAGGAGAATGTTTGACCAGGCTGTTCAATTAGCTCGTGCTGGTGGAGTAATTGTATATTCCACGTAAGTATGGATATATAATATTTTTAACCATATTGCTTTGTAGATGTTTGACCTCATTATCACTACTTTTATCTCCCAATATGTGATTTGTGATCCTATATTTCTGTAGAATGTCAATCATATTGATGCGGCTATGTTGGAGTGTCAATCTCCTGGGAATAGTCTTGCATTTATTATAACTTCACCATAGCATTTTTTGTTAGTTTATGATTGGGTAAACATAACTTTTTATCCCTCCACTTTGCTCGCATTTTGCTATTGATCCCTGCGTTTTTTTTCCCCAGTGTTCTAGGTCTTTACACTTTTGTTTTTCATTATTTTAGGTCCCTCTATGAACAAAGTGTAGGGACCTTGGGGGTACTTAAAACAATGAAAAATAAAAGTGTAAGAACCTAGAATATAAAAAAAAGTGTAGGGACTAAAAGCAAAATGCGAGCAAGTGCAGGGACTCAAAGCTATGCTTTCCTTTTATGATTCTATCTACAAGCATGCAAAATTTATACAACCGGCATGTTAAATTTCTTTTCTTTTCTTTTTACCATTGAGATAGACGTTTTATAAGACATATAAAGGTGGGAAGATAAAAAGACTCAAGATAGACTAAAGACTCAACATACAATGATTCACACGATTCAATTCAGTATGGACAATCTCTCATTAACATAGAGTAGCACGATCAGGCAATTTATTGAAACTTAGATAGCTAGATTCCTGTGACATTAACCTCCAAGCCCAAGGTGGCTGAGCTCAATTGATGTAGGTAATCCCAAAGGTAATATATTCAAAATGAACTCGTTCATTGGACTGAATATCTGTGAAAATTTTGACCGTTTAGGTGCTGCAATTTGAACTTTTGATTCATCACCAAGATGCCCAAATTTTGCTTAATAGCATTTTCATCTATTGATTCATACCCATGGTGCATGTTCTGCTTAACCGAATTTCATCCCTTAACCATCACTACACCAGATATCCATTTAATTTGAGTGCTAAAGTCAATTGAATAAGATTTCATTTCTAGATTCATCAACCTATCCAATTACATTAGAATAACTACTAATTGATGAAGCACCAATAACATATACTCACAAACAAGATATCAAACACCTGATGGGCATTCATATAATCAATGCTATTCAAGTGAATTAGAAGTCATTACAAGTTTGGAAAAAAAAAATCTTAATATTGAGTGCTAAAATTGTAAGTACACTCTAGCAATTCTCCTTGTAAGAATTTTTCATACGCCTAATGTGCATTGATCAACATATAGTAGTTAAGAGGATTGCCACAATGACAGAAATCATGAAAATAAATGGAATTTAATAAGAATTAAGAATGAAAATAAATTTAATGGAGGGCCTTCTCTCTGACAAGTGTTTGCGTGATGGACCAAAATAAAAATATGAAATCAGAATTTTTAATTTTTATCAATCAAATCAAGCAATTCTATTTATAGTGTTGAGCTGAAATATTAATTTCCTCAAAATGGTAAAATAAGATAAATTAGTTGTATTAATTTATAATTAATTTGTAATGATTAAGATCTCTTTACAAAACCTAAAAAATAGTTGGGAACATTGTACGAAATTGGGATTCATCCCATATGTGCGTGTACTCCAGCTTCTCTACACATAATTTATCGTGGCTGGGGGAATCAAGGAGTCTCATCTGCCACTGCCTTTATCCTTCTTTTGTGGTCCCTATCATTTTAGACTCCATAATGTGTTATTTACTTTGTTCTTTCTGCATGGAATTGTATTGAAGAGATCCCTGTTGGTTTTCTGCTTGTATATGACAATCTTATTTTGAGTGTTGTTACTATTTCTCTGAAGTGATAGCCTTAAATACATTGTGGTGTGATCTCCTAGCTCCGGATTTAGAAGTTGTGCCTGCTGCAAAACTGCAGGCCTATAGGATTCTAGATTTAAATATTTGTTTCAGTTATCTTAAAAGTTTGTTGTGGCCGTTGCTGACCATTATGTTCATAGAATTCAGTTTCCTAGCATGTATTTTTTTGATTAATTTATCTGTTTTATTTTCTGTTAAACCGTACTGATTGTTCAGTTTTTAATCCATGCTAGTTGTACAATAAATCCCGGTGAGAATGAAGCATTGGTACGGTATGCTTTGGACACATACAAGTATCTGTCATTGGCCCCACAGGTTTGAAACGATATATGCACCTTTTCAATTTCCCTTCAACTTCCTGTAAATGATAAGGGTTCTTGAAGCCTAAAGCTGAGTTATCAATCTTTAAAATTGATTGATATACGGAAATATCTTTCTTTAAAAATTGAATGGTATATAATTAAGTGAAGGGTGATGTCTCTTGAATATGCTAGGCATCTGTAATAATTTTCTCTGTATAGTCTTGTCTTGTAAATAAAAAGGTATTCATGATCAAATAGATTAGGTCAATCATTTTTTTAATGGTCAGATTTAACTCTCATATTTAGTTTGCCCTCAGCATAATTTCATATCACTTGATATTCATATTTTATATGATTCACACCAGAACCCTAGAGTTGGAGGACCTGGACTACTTGGTCGTTGCGACTTTCCTGATGGATATGAAGAGTAAGTACCTTAGTTGATTTTTAAATAATTAGGTACGTCTCATTAATGATATTGTTTGCTTTGTTTCAAATTAATATTTTCTTGAAGTGCTTACTACTCTGTTTCTTTCCTGTATGGTTTTCCTATCCTTTTATTTGGGAAAAAAAAGATATTTGCAGTAAATTATTGCATCTCAAAATCTTTTGTTATAGCTATTGAAGATATTACTTTATGATCTGGGCAGGAAAATCATGTGTTAGATTTTTATTGATCTTGAATCAAAGAGATGAATTTGACAAGTTAGGCTCAGGGTTGATCTGAGTTGAGTAATAAACATGTTACTATCTCTAGCCCTTTAATGTTCATGCATTTGGCTTTGTTTACAAATTCCCCTCTCTTTCTTATATTTTGTTACTCTGTTGCTCCCTTGCTTTCTCTGCTTGCCCCTAGCATATCCCTGTCTCTCAAATTTTCAAAGTCAAACTTTATCCTTTGTATGTTGTCGGGAAAATAGAGAGAGCATAAATGAGGCAGGAAAGGAGGACCAAACAAATGGGTAATCAATCATTTGCCCAGTAGTTGTGTCTTGGTAAATATTGGGAATATAGTGCTTAATTTTAGGCGAAGGACCTCTGTGCTTTCTTGCATCCTTTGGCTTGAAGTTGTGGGCGTAGTCTGTATTGGCTGTCTTGTGTGCATCAACATACTATACCAATGAGTTAAATAATATGCTAAATTCCATTGCCTTGCGATGTTAAATTCTTATTGAGCTTGATTAGGTCACCTAATGATCATATTGGTTCCTTTCTCTTCGAATTCCACAAGTGAAATGTTGTAATCGTATTTCATCAATGACCTTATTATATCAGATTCCTACCTATTATCTTCTTGTCATTTTCGTTGGTTTCCTAACTCCTAAGAAACCCTGTATCAACTTGACTAACATTACACTGGCAGTGCTATCAAACTCAACAAAATAGTAAAATGCTCATAATTGCTCTTTCTTTTTCCTGTATAGGGAGTGGTTAAGACCTGGTGAGGAAGAACTTGTGCAGAGGTTTGATCCATCATCTCCGCTTGATACAATTGGGTTTTTCATTGCTAAATTTATTGTTGGATCTAAAGATACCATGTGACTTTGAGTGTTAGCCTGGGAAAGCTGGGTCTCTCTCTTAGTTCAGAATTACCACTGCTTTGGCAATCTCTCAATTTTGATGCTATGGGAATACATCTGCTCTGGAACTGTAATGAAGGAGATGCAGTGAGAAGAGAGACAAGGGTGAGACTGAGACTCTCTTCTCAAAGGGTCCCACCCCTCATGTTTTTCTCTCTCCACTAGATCCACTGAATCCTTTATTATTGGAGAAAAATCAGGTTTCTCTTCGGTGGATTCGGCCCTTTTTTTAATTACAAGACTCGGTTGAAGTTTTTCAAAGTGTTTGCCAACAGATTCTTCAGCAAGAGTTTGACCTGTAAAGCAAACATGAAGGAATTGTTTGCACAACCAAATCATGTTATCTTGAGTTCTCAAAAAAATATTCACTTGTAATATTCTTATCGGAGCATTTAGTAGCAAATATTGAAAAATATTGACTAATAAGTTCTGTCATTTTTGTATTCGACTAAGACAATGGAGAGCACACTAGTGCACATCCTGTGATATTGATCCAAGAAATCATGACAGCTACTATATTTATAACGCAGTTGATAAAAAGTTGATTTTAGGTGTTAATAAGCAAATTTTTTCAATAGATAGTTATATTTTTATTTTTTTAATTTTAAAATAAATATATGCATCAACATATTTTTTGGTCAAGTATGCAAGAACGTGATTTAAAAATTTTGTTTTATTTACTCTCCTTTTAAATTTGATGCTTTCATTAATTTTGTTCAGCTTTATTATTTATTCATAAATAATTAAATACTTGGTAAAATATTTTTCTAATACTCCCTCTTCCTAATTATGGGGCAAAATTTCGAAAGATGTGTTGCTCTTACGTACAAGACAATTCACAAGGAGTAATTAATTAATTATTTTCCAAAGTATCTAATTAAAGAGTAAAAAAAGATTTGGCCCCGTTGGAAAATAACAAGTACTAATTTGAGGATAGAATGACAAGATGGAAAAGAATTTTAAACATAAATTTATTAAAATTGTTTTACTTGTATGTATAAGTTAAATATTTTTATTTTGTTAGAAGGAATGGAGGGAGTAATGTTTAGTCTTATTTTATTAAAAAAATGAGGGGTAAGGAATTTTTAAGGTGTTGAGAAAGTTTATTGTGTTTCAAGAATTTTATTATGTTTATCTTTTTTTTAACTATAATATCATTTATATCTTATTTCTCTTCCCTTGCCGTAGATATTTTATCTCATTGCTCCCACGGTTGTATCAAGTTTATGGAAAAGTTAAAACTTAAATTATTTTTAAAAATATTACCTCAATTTTTCAAAAGCACGTCTCAAATAAAATTACAGTCAACATCTCAACAATCTTCTTTTTAACTGTGAGTTGATCATTGAATGTACAAAAGTATTTCCCTTTTAACTCATATTCTAAAGGTATGTTTAAGAGTGTATGATAAAATACAAAGAAATGATAATTAACGGAATGAAATGGAGGAGTAGGATAGAGTGGGTTGAAATAAAACATTCCCTTGTTTAGAGGTTTTATCATAGGAAGTAAATATCTTATTTAATAATTATTATAAAATTAATAGATTTGAAGTAGATATAATTATTATGTTTTCCAATATTAGGGTGAAAGGGAGTAAAAGAGTGAGAGGGGCAGGAGAGGATGGGAGTAATTTTATAATAATATTATTTATATCAAGCCATTCCATAGGGTTTAAAAAAAAAAGGGCTTAAAATGGTTAAGGATGGCTTGGAAGGTTATCCCAAACTATTCTACTACCTTTTAAAAAATTCTCCCAAATAATGATATAGAATTTTTAGCTTTTAGATTCCATTTTATTCCATCCAAATTCATTTTTGGGACTATTTAGGGCTTGTTTAGTTTTTGTTCTCATTTTTATTTTAAAAATTATTTTGATATACAATTTTAAAAATTACTTTTCAAAAAAAAATAAAATGAAAATCTATTTGATTATGTTAATTTAAAAAAATTTTAAAATTAAAAAATAGATTAATCATTATAATTGTAGGTGATTAATAGTAGTGATTTATAATAGAAATCGGTGAGAGTAACTATATTTTTCAACAATCAAATGTAGTGTGTTTTGAAAACAATGAAAATAAAATAAAAACAACTCTAAAATATTTTTGTTTTTTAAAGGGTTAAATATCAATTTGAACCCTGGACTATAGGTTCAGGGGTAATTTAAACCCTAAACTTTAAAAGATACATTTTGAATATTAAACAAGTAAAGTTGGGATAATTTCGTCCCTACCGTTAACTTTTAACAAACGTTCATCAAATTCATTTAAGAAAAATTATACTTTAGGCCTCAATTTGATGGATGTTTGTTGAAAGTTAACAGTAGAGTAAAATTGTTCTAACTTTAATTGTTTAGAGTTCAAAATGTACAATTTTAAAAATTTAGGATTCAAATCGCCTTTAAACCTATAATTCAGGGTCCAAATTATATATTAGCTCTTGATAATGTTACAAATTTCCTAGGATATGAGAAGAATGAATTAAAAAAATGTAAATAATGATGATGATTATGATGATTAAATTATATAAAAAGAAGGTTGTAAATTGTAATAATGAGTAAAGAAGTTTTTGGTAGAGATTATGGTGGGTACGAATAAAATAGTGTCAAGTGGATTATTTTTGTTTTTGTTGGATGGGGTTTTGATAGGTAATCAGTGGCAATAATGGGAGTGTAATATAATCTTTTACTATAAGCACACTTTCATATTTTTTTTATTTGTTCTCTAACATAATGGAATCTCATAATAATATTGGTGAAAAAAATATTATCATTCTTTGTTAGAAAGAATTTAAAATAGATTTCTCATCATACACTTTTTTCTCTGTCTCTTTATTTATCATAAAGGCATTTGGTTCTGTTTTATAAATTTTCACCTTCATCAATTAATTTAAACTAAGAAACTTACACACTTTTTCAAAATCTTTTTAAAAATTGATATAATACGCAAAATACACTTTTTTCAGTTATTGTTGAATTATTATTGATTGGAGTGCATTTATTAAAATACAAAAGGGCTAATATGCAATTTTGACCCTATACTATAGGTCCAGGGGTGATTTGAACCTTAAACTTTTAAAAAGGTACATTTTGAACCTTAAACAATTAAAATTGAGGTAATTTGACCCCTATCATTAACTTTTAACAAACATCCGTCAAATTCATTAGGAAAAAATTGCACTTTAGAATGTTGTTGAAAATTAATGATAGGGTTAAATTGCTCCAACTTTAATTGTTTAAGGTTTAGAATATACTTTTTTAAAATTTAGGGTTCAAATTGCTTACGGGCTTATCGTTCAGGGTCCAAATTGATATTTAACGCTTTTTTAAAAAAATAAAAATAATTTTGAAAACAATTCAATTCAAAACACTAATCCAAACGAGTTTTTTTTAATTTTTTTTAAAATAAAAGGTTTTGAAAATAGAAACCAAAATGCTCTTAATTTTTCAGTTTTTAGTTGTTGATGATGTTGAATCAGTAATTTTCTCATGGTTTCTCTGTAATGACTCTTCACTTCAGAGGCATTGATGAGTACTATTGAGTTTAATCCCATGCTTTTGGCCATTTCTGTTATATTTGTCCCTCCCTTTCTAAAAGGTCATGATAATTATATAGGGTTGCTTTCTCTGTAGACATACATGTATTATGATGAATCAGTGTATTTACAATTTACATCCATGTATTTTCAAAGTGCCATGTCTTGAAAGATACATGTGCCCATTGTTTCTACAATGAATAGTAATACATCACAAAACCAAGAAACATGAAAGACCAAACAGAAGGTTTGTGAGAAAAAGCAAAAGGCCTTTTCTTCCATTTAAAGCTATTTAATCAGGGGCTAGAAGTAATAATCTTATTATTATTATTATTATTAATTTTAAAAACTTCAGGTAAAAAATACAAAATAAAATAAACATACAAAATTCTACAACTAACGCTCACGAAGTCACGGGTCAGTACTCATGAATCAAAGTCAGGGAACTCATGAAATGACAATCATCATGATGATATTGCTGATGATGCTGCCAATGCTTAGTCATGTTGATTTCGACAATATTGCTATGATATTGAATTTGGATGTTTAAATTTTTACCCTATATCATTTATAACTTATGGATAGTGTAATTTAGTATACATTTCATATCATATGTTGATATTGATTTTTTTTAATCTTTGATTTATTATATATATATATATATATAAATATATTAGACTAGCGTGTTTAAGAAGAACATACGAAGATGCGTGTTATATGTTTTTCTTGTGATATACCTTGAATAAAAACTCAAAACCCAAATTAACTTCCTCATTTGATTTGGTTTTTTTCAATCATGTATTCCGTTTTTTTTAAAATGAATTTGATCCTTAAAAAAAAAAAAACAGAGAGATGCGTGTTATATAAGTATGATTAATTTGGATTATTTATTTATTTTAAAATTTTAAATTGAACATGTTTGAAAATTTGACGCTCGGAAGTGGTGGCTAAAAAAAGCAAAAAAGAATAAACAAAAGAGAGGTGAGATTAGGCAGAATATGGTGGAGGGGACAATGAGTGTGTGGCTGTGGTAAATTGCGTATCCAATCCACAGTTTGTCCGTTGTATGTACGCTACAGATCTCCAAAACCAATCTTGACCGTCCAAATTAATAATATCTTGGCCGTCTCTCCCAAACACCCCTCATGGCTCATGGTCCCCATTGCAGATAGAAATGAAAATACGAGCAACGGCCCGATCTTTATGGGCTCAGTCCTTAAAACTTAGTTATTTAAAATTTAATTTAATTTAAAAAACTTGATCCTTATTTAAAGAGTTCAGAGCCAAATCTCGTAAGCCTTTTTTTTAAAGAAATTTAATATTTAATTTAAACAGAATATTTTAAAATTTAACATTAAAACAATTAAAGTCTATATAAAATTCAATAAAGATTTAAAAGTTTAAATTTAAAATGAAGATTAAAATCATCATTAATGTAATCTAAATCCATCTCCTCATCATCTCAAAAAAAAATATTAGATCCCTAAGATGTAGGTCTATTGTTTAAAAATGAAGGCGGAGGTTCAATGTCAATTATCTTTGTAACTTCTTCTTCATCACCTATAATAAATATTAATCAAAGTATGTCATATCAATCAAATACATGTATTAGATCCCTCATATAT